GCACTGGGTTCCATCCTCAGCACCACATAAAAATAAATAAATGAAATAAAGGTATTTTGTCTATAATTTTTTTTAATTTCAAAAATATGAGTTACATAAAGATACTATCAATTTGAAAACAGTTTTACAATATTCAGTTTATTTCTGCATCATGGACTGTATCAAAAAAGCTCTCATTCTTCTCTTTTAAAAAAATTATTTTTTTTTTAGTTTTAGGTGGACACAATATCCTTATTTTATTTTTATGTGGTGCTGAGGATCGAACCCAGTGCCTCATACATGCTAGGTGAGCACTCTACCACTGAACCACAACCCCAGTACAAGCTTTCATTCTTCTTTCCAAATTTTATCCCAAACCTCCTCATCCTACAAGATATAAATCAAATGTCATCTCTTCCATCAGACTTTCTGAATTCTCCCCAGTCAGAATGCATTACTGCATCTCTATAATGTAGAACATATACCCTATTAGAACATGTATTTCATCCTGCCTGGCATTACATTTCTTTCTTCTGTTTCTCTCCTACTACCACATATGGTATTTGAAGCAGGCTGCTTTAGTACCATTCGGGGGCTGCATAGAGTAGGCACCTAATAGGTATTTGATCAACTTAAATTAATCATTCAAATATTTGAAAATGCAATATGCCCCTCTCCAAAATAAGTAAATAATTTGCATTTACATAATTTAACAAAAATGGTTTAAGCTGCCAGAACCACCATTTTTTACTAAATGATCACATAACGCCATAAAAAGAATCAGTTTATAGGCCAAGCTGAAACATTAACACCAATGTTAGCTTATAAATCTGGAGGAGCACCTCTCAAATTCTTGTCCAGTGACCAGCCTACCTATAGAAGCTGAGGTAAAGGATTATACAACCATAGTCTGTCCCACTTGTTAGTTCCAGAGTGTATTTCATATTCTATTTCATCTCACTTCTGGTTTTTATAATTAATTTACAAGGCTACTAAAATTTTTTATACTATAACTTAAAATCAAACACTCTGTAAGAGGAGAAAAATTAGAATGAGTATATAGGATAACTAACAATAATCTATTTTAGCATTTTATAAATTCAGAGTTTCTATTGACCAGGGACTGCCTAGCAGTAGGGCGCTCGCCTCGCACGTGTGAGTCCCTGGGTTCAATCCTTAGCACCACATAAAAATAAATAAATAAAATAAAGATATTGTGTCCAACTACAATTAAAAATAAATATTAAAATAAATTTCTATTGACCAAAAATAGCAAAACAACCCAAATGTTTATCACAAAGAGACACAGGGGCAAAACTTCAACTAACAAAAATCTAATTTAGATTGTATTCAAGTCACCATGGAACAATACTAAGAAACAATCCCAGCTCTCAATGGAATTTAAAATAACTCTTAATATTAAGATATATAATCAAACTTAGGAATTTTTGTATCAGTTAATTCTTGGTATTTATTTACCTGCTCAATTGAAGGCTGCTTACTTAAAGGGCTTTGTCCAGACTTTGCTCCAGAAGGTTCTTCATGTGATTTTTGATCATCAACTTTTTTGTCAAGCTTGTTTTGGAATTTTGTGCACCCTTTGAAAAATAATTATTTTCTGTATTTTTAGTCAGCAAATTCAACATGTCTTTCAGAAATATTGTGCATGACCTCATTTTAAAGCTATGCACTGGGTTTTGTAAAACTTTTGATATTTCATTACTCTAATATCATCTAGGAGTCTCACTGAATTCTAGAACAATCTTTGCCATACTGTTTCCATTTGCCTACCCTAATAGGGTAATCTTCTTTGTATATAATACCTCAAATTTTATTTCATATACTATGTTGGGACATAGTATCTGAAATTAATTGAAGGAATACTCCAATAGAAAAAGAAGAGATAGAGAGAAACTGGCTGCCTTGTATTCATTGTAT